GACGAGGACCTGGACGTGGACGCCGTGGAGGTGGACGACTGCTTCTTCCTCCAGCCGCTGCCCACCAAGCGCCGGCGGGCGCTGCTGCGGGCCTCGGGCATCGCCCGCATCGACGCCCGAGAGAAAGCCGAGCTCCGGTCCATCCGCCTCTCCCGGGAGGAGTGCGGCTGCGACTGCCGCCTGTACTGCGACCCCCGCCACTGCGGCTGCAGCCAGGCTGGCATCAAGTGCCAGGTGAGAGCCAAAGAGGAGGCAGACTGCAGAGGCCCCCTTTTTTAAGATGCGCTCCCATGCTTTTGCACACTTTTTTAGATTTTCTATTCATGAGGTATGAAATGTTGATGCTTTCGTGCTGTTCACTGCCAGAGTGTTACACGTTAGTAAGTCTGATGTGAAGAAGGCCTGTTTAGCAGATTTATGACAATAAACCCACTCTTTTTTTATAGCTTTGATTTAAATAAAAAATATAGCTGAAATAGGCATCTGATTTAAATACTGCACTGTCATTGGCTGAGAGGTGAGCTACACTCTGAACGAGTCCATCACAAGGTCACACGGAAATGAACAATCACAGACACTCAAAATCACTTCTACGAGCAATTTAGAATCATGAAAGAACCTAATATGCTAACATGCATGTTTCTGGATGGTGGCAGGAAGGTAGACTACTCAGAAAGTGTGTATATATATATATATATATATGTATAGAGAGAGAGAGACAGAGAGAGATAGGGGGAATGAACCATGCATCTTATTTCTTCATCGCATCTTTGTTTTAAGAAGTTTTTATAAATTAAAAATTACCTTCAGGGGCTAAAGAAGTGTGTTCACTACAACACAGATTTGGACACATACTGACATCTGCCTTTAAAAAAAAAAAAATCAGGTTGACAAGACTTCCTGATATCTTAATGGGAAATCTGTGACATGCTTTAGTCAGAATGCCAGAGGATTACAGTTAAACATAAAGATGTGGCCCACTTTCCACTGAAGGTTACTTCAGATGCAGATGGTGCGTTCTGTGGACAGTGGAAAATACGAATTTCCAACATTTCCAAAAGAAATAGTCTGTTCAGTGTGAGATTTTCTCTTTGGGACATAAAATATGAGCCATCAGCCCATCGGAGAATTACTGTCCCATTTTTGTCTTAAGTTAAAGGAACTATTCACCTGCCGATCCGTGTTTTTTCTTTAGAACCGATTGTGTGATTGAAAATGGAACGAAGAAGGGTTAGATTCTTACTTTTGAGCTACAGCAAATGCAGCCTGCAGGATTATATCTTTTTACAGTTTTTACCATATGCTTTGCGGGGATCATCAGACGTACGCTCACTTTGAAGATAAACACTTCAGCATCATTTCAGCCCATATTCAGACAATATTTATGAGCCTGCTGATATTTACAAGCCCCTCTGTCCAGTGAACACCAGTTTTCAGCTATTGGTAAGGTTTATTTTCCCCAAAACTTTTGCTCCTTAAAAAGAAGCACAGCACCTCTTGTTTGTCATGGACTTTGAACCCTGGTGAAACAACCTCTTTTTTCCCCCCTCCGCGCCTTTTCCAGGTGGACCGGATGTCTTTCCCCTGCGGCTGCTCCCGGGACGGCTGCGGCAACGTCTCCGGCCGCATCGAGTTCAACCCGCTGCGCGTCCGAACGCACTACCTGCACACCATCATGAAGCTGGACGTGGAGAAAAAGCGGATGCTGATCCAAGGCCCCGGGGAGCCGTACGCTGAGCCGGACCCCGTCTCGTCCCCGTCCTCCGTTTGCCCCACGTCCCCCACCCTGTCCTCCATGGCCGGCCTGGACTCGGAGCTGGAGGAGGGCGAGGCGCAGCCGGCCGGAGAGGCTCGGGACCTCCTGGCGGAGCAGGACATACTGGAGCGGGAGAACGAGACGGCCGTGCTGCACCTGCAGAGCGCCGAGGAGCAGGAGAGGAGGGAGCGGGAGGAGGCGGTGCAGCAGGAGCTGGGCGGCGCCGGCCTGGCCGAGCAGCCCCTCTGCCTCCTGCCCGGTGCCTTGGGAGGGGAGGTGCCCGGCGTGGATCAGGTCCTCCTGCAGGGGCCCTTCCCCACAGGGGCCACGGTGCTGTGCATCTCCGAAAACCAGGAGGAGAGCCCGTCCGACCTGCTCAAAGACTCAGCCTCTCTGCTCTACTATCAGCTCAACCCCATAGAGCCCGGAGCCTTCGAGACGCCGCCCAAAGCCGGACAAGGTGAGAAGGAGGGGGAGCGCCCGGAGGCGGGAGAGAAGAAACAAGGAGAGGAAGAGGAGGAGGAGCTGAAGGATGATGGCAGACAGAGTGTGGGGGAAGCTGTGCCCAGAGTGATGCTGTGCTCAGAGAAAAGGCCCGCTGGTCCTACTAAAGACGTCCCCAAGAAGTATCAAGGCGAGCCCCGCTCAGAGAGAGAAGTCAATCCACTGCCTCCAGAAGTTTAGCGTCAGCTTCTCCGCAGATATTTTGCACAATAGCTTCATCGAAGATGAGAAAAAAAAAATCGACATATTTCACATTTATTACTGCTATCATCACGAAAGATTACAGGTTACAAGCTCCTCTCGTGACTGTCACTGAACTATTAGTGCAGAATTAGGTAGAGTAACACAATAAATATGTGGAAGGAGAGGGAGAGGTGCTCAAAGCACAGACACGTCACCGTTTTGTGAGGGAGGCAGGGGGGTGATGAACGAGGCCTTAATGGATAAAACATAAACACACTTTGTATTTAGGAGTCCATGTGGAGTACAGTAAGTAGTGCTTTGTTCATTTCCGACGCCGCAAACAGCGAAAAAACAGCGCCTGAACGCTGACGTAAGCCTTTCGTTCGGTGACGTCTTAAGCTCTCAGCACAAAACGCCAATAGTTTCGCAGCTGGTTGTTTTAAACACTTCGAGCCACAGCAGACTCGAGCCGTATGTCTAGCCAAACGAGGGCCTCCGGTAGTATCCTCGAAATATAGACCTAATAATCCTGGAAATACTTGTTTTTGTGTACTGTATATGCATTTGCAACGTGCAAGGAGCGCTGCTTTTGAGACGCAAGGGGCTAGCCAACCCGAAGCGGCGGAGCAGCTCTGACCGTTAGGCTAGCTGTTAGCCGTGAGGCTAACTGTTGCGCGAGTCCATTTGTCGTGCAAAACTAACAGGATACTTAAAAAATGCCGGCAACATTGTTTCCTTATGAGTAGCTCTTATTTTTATTTGGGTTACCCTTGGTTTTAAAGTCGACGTCTGTTATGAATGAAAATAAATGCATTTTAAAAAATGCCATTATTACATCCTTTAGAACTTTTTGGCGGGTCCACGTTCCCTCAACTTAAAAAAAAACATGTCGCTGTACAGGAACGAGATGATTCCGACTCGAGCCGAATTCCTATTTAGCGTGAAAAGAAAACTATTAACGCATATCAATGCGATGTTGGTTATTTGTGAACGACATTTACGACATCCTGATTTTTGTACGTGTGGAACCTGTGCGTGTTTTTTCCGTTTATTTCACGCGTGTTAATCAACGTTAGATCGAAAGGTGCGTTTGCGCCCGTGCACATGCACGTGCGTTGGCTATGTACTGTATAAGCCCGGGGGTCGATGCAACAGTTCCCTGTGACCGGTCTGAGGAGGAAGCAGCGGCGGCTCCGCAAATCACAAAGGTCGGAACGAGCTGTTTTTTTTGTGATAGAGTATGTAAACGCAGCCGTACGGCATTTCCGGCCCTTCTTAGTCTTTTTTAAAGCTCTGTGTGGTTAACGCTGACCTGCGGAAGCGAGCCGACACCTCTTACACAGCGTCAGTCCTCGATCACGTGGTCTGGAAAACCGCCGCCGTTGCCAATGGGAACGGCTGGCCTCACACACAGGATGTGCTGCTGTGTACGAGCTGTCTGATGTTTTTATTCGCCTTTTTTCTTTTAACTGTCTTAATTATAATCCTGCTAAATAGCTGCAACAAAAGCGGTGGTTTCAAACCTAAGCGAACGAAGCTTTCCTTTCATCCATCAGATTTGAACAAAGCTGTCTCCTGTAGTTATTGTGAGGCTGCGGACTTACTTTGGCTCTTTGTGTTTGCGTGACTTGCCTTGGCATATAAAAACCATCTTTGAAGTGATGCTGATTACAAGATGCCTGCTGTCGAGCTTGTGTCCTAGGCTTTCTACTAATAGATTTAGGTTTGGGACCACTGCACTAAACTGACTCTTGTACTTTGTGATTGTTCGTTTCTCTGTGTGAAAGGAGTGTATGATTGTCAAAAAGACTGATAAGCTTAGACTTCATCTAAAAGCTGTGAGAAACTACTCTCATGCTAATTGTTGCCTAAAGTGAATGAAAAATGTTTTTATACAAAAATGGAAAAAAAAACAATAAAATACTCATTACAAAAAAAGAACGTTTTGTTGGATGTGTTTTGAGTATGTTTAGCTGCAAACCCTTCTGCCGTAAAGGCCAATACTAGAGGCGGTATTGTTCGAAAGCCAACACCTATTTGTTCTCATCTAGCTCCCGAGCAGATTGTTTTTCATAATATTTTACAGCAATTTTGCTAAACAGTTTTAGCCACTTTCCTGATGGTTTCTGAGCAATTAAGCATAGAAGAAGCATACAGAAAATAACACATCTTAAATTATGTTTTTTCTTTGTCACAAAGAGTGGCCCTTGCTCTTGTTTCTTTTTTAGATGAATCCATTAAAAGGAAAAGTCTGTCATAACATGTGCAGTGTGTCTGTAAAGATTTGGAGCTAAGCGACAAGTAGAAGGACAAAAAGCTCTATGTTTGTAAGATCATACAACGCTGTCTAAGCGAAATTAGAATAAAATATTCCATCAACAGTTCACTGAAGCGTCATCAGAAATGGTCTCCATGTTAGGGTGGCTGTCCAAAAGCCACTTTTAAGAAAGGGATACGGAAAAAAAGGCTGATGTTTGCCAAATAACATGGGAGTTAGACTGAAAACCAGTGGTAACAGGGCTTCTGGAGGGATTAATCCTCCCCAAAGCCCAGCCCTCAGTATTATTGAAGCAGAACCAAATGGCAGCCAACATCCAAAGAGGAACTTTAGAATTTCCTTCAGGAAGACTGGAAAACTAGTCCAGGAAAAAATGCTTAAGGAAGCGAAAAGGAAGCCTTTTGCCCAGTGGGCTTCATACTGTATTAAAGAATGATTGAGGCTCCAGCAGGGTTTTTAAACTTTCCAGGGATCTTGCCTTGCATCCCAGATTTGATTTAATCTTTTCTCGTGTTTCAATGAACTGCTGAACCTATTAAATACATGACAGTTAAACACTTTTGTGTAATGATTTACAAAATGCACAAGTTCAGTTTTACCAGTACCCTGCTTCCAAATAGGACGTGTTTTTCTTCTTGTAGACGGGTAAAACTTAGAGCACAGACCTGGTTACATGGCAAAAAAACAGAAACGCTATGCATCGTTGCTGGAGTTCATCGCCTCTGAGCAGTATGCAATGTTAAAAATGTTGAACTCTTGGATGCTCAGTCGTGTAAAACCTGACAAAGTTGAGAATTCCTGTGCTGAAAGTCCCCCCCTAAACAGGCTAACCCCTGATTTATTGGCTTTTTGTGTTGCATAAAAGTGCTCAATGCTGTATGAGTTCCTGAAGCAATGTGATTTATCTGGTTTCTATTGATAACTCAAAAGCCAAATCATTTCTTTTTCAAGACTTCTTTCAGAGGTAGAATCTAGATTTGGTCATTATTTAGAAGTGGGAGGTTACTGACTGTAACTGTGAGCCATGTTTAGTTTTTTTTAAAGTGGAAAAACAAACTTGTGCTCTCACGTTCAAATTAAAAGAGAGAAAAAATAAAAGAACAAATGAAGCCTTTGTCTATTGTGCAGAGAAGACTCTGTCCACAGGATGGCGGCATAAAGTCAACCCTGGAACAAAACGTCCGGGCCCTGCTGCTGTCACCAGGAAATGGGACTGGACGTCTTGAAATGTTGCCAGAGACCAAACCCGCTTGTTTACCTGCGCGAATGGTGAGATAAAGATGATGAGGAAGCATTTTCTGTGATGCCCTTTACGAGCATCATTCACCACACACACACACCCCTCTTTAGCTGTCATGATGGACTGCTAATGAGCATTTCCCAGGGCGTTAGAGGACAAGTGCAACTCCGACACTCCCTGTCAGCGAGCAAATTCAGCTCCTTTTATAGAGTGAAACTTCACATCGTGGTTGTGGGAGTATCACAAAAGACTGAGGTAAGTTATGTTAACTGAGGTTTTTATAGAATCAATGGCACTTTGGGTTTATGTGAGAAACTGTCAGCTTGTGAAAACTTGTTGCTTTATATGATATAAAATTTGTTAACATAATGTTGGCTGCATTTTCTATAAGTTGTATAGTCCACTAAGGGCACACAGACTTGCTCAAGTCAGTATATAAGTTATGAGTTCAGAATCTGATTTATTGGGCTTATCCACCACCATTCATTCACCGTTCTGTTAAAGTTGGATAATTTTGGGTGGATTTGTTTTTCTTATTCTTTAGTCTGTCTGCAAATGTGCTGTAGAATTTTTGCCCCAATTGCTACTTTAATTTAAAAAAAAAAATGTTCCTCTATAATTCCCGGATAATTAGCCCTTCAATAGTTGCACAAGCACACCCAGTACTCATCAACACGATACACAAATCTATCAATAATTATTAGTACATTGAATAGGATATTCAGTCTAGCGTGTATCAACATTTCAAATCAAAGACACTTTCTATCCAACCAAAATGGGGGTGATTGTGCACGTGTGTAACTGGAACCATCCATCCACCCATTATCGTAACCGCTTATTCCCTAATGGGGTCGAGGGGGGACTGGAGTCTATCCCAGTGGTCAATGGCCGAGAAGCGGGGTACACCCTGGACGGTTGTAACTGAAACCTTCTTGTCAAACTAAGCTTCCCAATTGCAGTGCAGCTTTGCACTTCACCAGGAGAGGTCACTATGATTGAAGCTTCCAGTAATGAACCCATTTTCCAACCAGTTGGCTCAAGTAGTTCACAGAAGCTTCATTTACCATCAATACATGCATCCCAGCTGAAAGCTTTTCTTTTTGATATCAGCACCGCAGAACCCAGACAACAACCCCCCCAACCATGAGAGACAAACGAGAGACAAAGGTTGAAATAAACTGGGAGAAACCATTCTAATGGAATGGCACTGCCAAAGGATGAACCAAAGCAGGCCATTTTCAATAAATGAACAGCTAATGAAACAATACATTATCTACAAATCAAGATAACTGAACATATTTAGATTAAACCTCAATAAGTACCCCAAACATAAGCACTTAAACATAAGCACAATAGAACTAAGTTGCAAACCCTATTGTTGTGGTAGCCGTGTTGTCTGTGTTTTTACCAACAACAGAAATGTAACAATGGCTCCTTGTTGCACCAACCCATCTCAGTGTTAGTTCACGTGCATCTCTA